AAGGAGCAGAGACGGTCGGGTAATTGCATGTGTGTGGTGGAATCTGTGAAGCGATGGTGGCAAGGCAGGAGAGGAGGAGGGTGAGAGAATGCGATGAGAGAGTAACATTGTGACCTAATGCCAGGGAGTAAGAAATACAAGAAAAGAAAAGATTCTTAAACAGTTTTGCAACTGTACATTAGAAAAAAAAAGAGATCAAAGGAATAACAAGTTATCTAAAGGACACAAAAAAAAACCAATGCATAACAGGATCTACTGATATATGACACCACAGAGTGCATTTTGAGGCGTACACCATGGTCACCTGCCAAAGGTAAATAAGAGCAGCTTTGTTTATCCCTCTGGAGGCTATTCTTTTTTTTCCCCTTCCACTTCCTTTTTGTGTATGCCCACTGCTGATTGTCTGACTGATCTGGCTGGTGCTCACATGGAAAGTAGGAAACTTTCACTTTCAACTGAATAGTTTTAATAGCAAAGAGTAGCAATGAGGTTTACAAATTTTAAATTGATGAGAAATTATTTCCAAGCCTGTCTCAACCCAGGGTGTCAGTTACTGTAGTTCTATCACATACCTCTGCTGTCACAGAGGGTTTTCTTTGGCTGTGCATTAAGGCACAGCCTGCAGCAATACTGGATGCTGAGAGATAACAGTCCTCCTCTAAAAGCTACAAAGTCCACAAGGTTGAAGGATGACAGTGGAGTAAATCACAAGTGTGTCAGTAAGGAAACCACTTGTAAACTTTGTGTTTTGCATTTTTCACCTTTTTTGCTTTTGTTCACGGGTAGGTTTAGGTACTAAATCCCATTTTTTAGGTTCAGTGAGCGTCTGTGTAGGCTTGTCTGAAGCAGGAATTATACTTTCCGCGTCTGCGAGTCCGTTAGGTTCTGCTCGGGTTCCAGTGATGTAAATTTTGTCATCTGACAGTACCCATGCCTGACTGTTTTTTCATCCACACAACCACACAATCGGAGGTCAAGGAGATATAACAGGAATGATTACTCGGGTCTTCAGCTGTCCATGTCCATGAAGTATAATCTGGGCTAAGGCTTCACTAACGGACCAGTTCTGTTGTTTAGCTTGAGTTTCATGAACATTGTGTATTCCACACTTGGTTGGTTAGATATTGCTGTAGCTTGCTTCCCGCTGCTTTCTCAAATTGGTCTCAAAGAGGTGCCGAAAATCTTCTTGGGATTTGCTTCGGTTAATAGCAGATTGCGACGGTTGCCTGTGGTTTGCATTGAAGACGCCAACTCGGCTGCAAAAACTCGCAAACCAACAAACCAACTATTCAGTAAGTGGTAGTCAAACTGTAAAAAATGTGATACAAACCAGAAGCGGAGACTGTTTGGCTTCACAGTAAAAGGCACGCCTCTTAAAATGTGTTTGTTTAAGAAGGCACAGTTTTTACTTTGCCACACACTGTTTGCAACTGATTACATAGCGACAAGTGGGAGCTTCCTGTAATCACTTGCCAATATTTTCCACTAGTGACTGGAGGTTGAGAGTGGGTCACTGAGCAGTCTCTAGGTCTGTGTCACTAAGGCCCAACTATTGCCTAAGCCTGTTGCATCACAATCACCAGAGAACACCTTATACTTACCTTTGACATAACAGAATCTTTTTAAAAAAGGGGCATGGGTGGGAGGATGGGCTGAAATTTACAGGTTTTTGATGAAAGTTATAAAAACTGCTTGTTTGTCACAGGATGACTGCAGTGTCTGCAGATCAAGTGGGTTTAAATTGTGTTTCAGTACTTTAATAAGTCATTGGCAGTACAGTATACGTATAACTTTTAGGTTTTCATTTCAACTTTTTTCAAATGTTTTGTAAAAAAAAAGAAGTAATAATTTAATGGAAAAATAATCAAGAAGTTATTTTAAAGGCTAAAATGATTCTTATCTTAGTTGCAGCTCGAATCCGATAAGATTAAAAGAATGTCTCGGATGGAAAGTTGGGACAATTGTTTTTGTCTGTGTCCTTCCAGACGTTCCGTGCAAGTATGCAGAAATAAACTTTTTATAGCCATTGAGCAAAGTTAGAGTGAGATAACAAAAGCCAAGGAAAGCTAGACATAAGGAGCATGAGCGACATAAAGAGTCAGTCTGGCCAGTCGAGTTCAGTTCACTCAAGTTCTGTTCCAGCCACCGTTGGGCTGTGAGGTAAGTTACTCAATACCCGCGGACACAGACAGAAGCAGCGTGATTGACAACGTTTCTGTCATTCATTTCCTCCCTCTGCTGCTTCACTTCCAATATTTCTCTCATGGTAAAGTTTAAAGATGATTTTTATCTCCTCTCACAGCCGCGCAGCATCTGATAAAATGCCTTTTTGAAATATGACGCCCCAGGTCATCTGCAACTGGAAATACCGACATGGTTTACTTTTATCAGGAATTTACCGCTGGGCTAGAATCTATCACATGGAGGGTCTGCGTGACGGGGTAGCCAAGTGTCCGTGGACAAATTGTGGAGACCTCTTTGCACAGATGTACATACAGGAACCACAACATACATACATTCGCACATGCATGCTTATCAAGTCATCTAGGGCGTGTGTGTGTTTGAACGGTCAGATCAAGAGCCGTTTCAGACACTTGACAGGCAGCAGGAAATGGCAGAGGTCGCTGTATCAAGACATGTGAAGCGAAGCTAGAGAAAGAGAGGAAAAAATATTGTGGGACTAAGATAAGAAGGCAAGAAAAAGAAAAGCAAAATATATTATTGAGAAAAGTGCAAACCATTCGTCACAGCTGGTGACACCCTCAGCGCTCTATTAGCTGCTCGGACCCCGGTACTACTTGAAAACTAATTAGTTTTGTTAGCTCGGGAAAACAATCACAGCAAACATGCCCAACCCCAGAAACACACGCAGGCACACACACAAATTCTAATCTTTGCCTTTCACAATCAGGAACCAAAGGAAATGAGATTTCGAAGGTGAGCATAACAGCGTGCCACACATCTGCAGAAATGACTGCCCCTGGCCAAATTAGACTTGGAAATACGAGGGTGACATTGACATAAAATATAGAGCAGAAATGCTTTTACATCAGGATGAGAGGGAAGTTCAGACACCGAGATAAAGCTCTTCAGACCGAATTTAAAGGGAGATAAGAGTGGAATACCTCTGATGGAGAAACAATCGACCTTGTCAGATTGTTCGTTTCTACTGCTCCGCTGATGTTTATGAATGAAGGTAGATTTAGAGAGCTAAGAGGCCGCAAAGTGAATGCGAATAGATAACGTCGAGTGGATTTGGAACAGAAAAGCAATCTTGTAATGTAGCTATGCAATTTTTTTTTTTACCTTTCTGCTGTCTAGAGAGCTCTCTGTGCCTCCACTGGTCATGGCTGTGGAGCATGTCATAGAAATGGTCTGGCTTTTTTAGGTAATACATCAGGAATACTGCAAACACCACGGTTACCTGTTAATAATTTTCCCTACAATAGGGTTCATTATCAGATAATTAGGCAGTTTGAGCAACTTCATCTGGGACTTGGGTGATTCGGAGTTATTGAAGAATGCAAATGCAGAAGGTCCGACTACAAATAAAGTATTTCGCTGATATGACTAGGCTGAAAATATCAAAGCTTCAAAACTGGTAAAACGTCCTTTTTTTAAAGCCAAACTCCTTGAATATCAAACACAAACAGCAATACAAGAAGTATCCAGTTTTTTTTAAAGGGTGATCACAGTTATGACCAGACATTCGATGTCAGCTAAATACAGTTCGATACTAAGAGCAAAGTAAACAGTTTCCATCACATCACACATCCATCGTTACCCATCTCAGTGGTTTAAAGAACTCCAGTCCCTATAATTTTGCAATAGGATGGTTAGATTTGGTTCCACAGATTCAGGTAACAAAGAACTCTTTTCCTGCAGTGCAGTTGCTTTGTTGGTGCAGAACCTTTCTAGCTTTGAGAACCCATTATTGTGCAGCATTACAAGCTTAAGTTGTATGTCTTTGTGTGCTGCATCTGCCAATCCTGGTAGTCCTTTCCGTTGCCACTAATGTCAGTAGGTCTAAATTTGGACCCAGCAGTTTTTGCGTTGCAATGCTGGTGCTGGATTTGCAAGAGGGATACAAGAGGTATGATTGCTTCTAAAAGCGCCCATTTACCATCGTTGGATCCCTTTTAGAATCATTATTAAAAATATGCATGTCATACTTGGCCAGTTTCCACAAAGGCTTTAGCTAAAGACACCACCAAAACATTTTAAAGCATGCTATAATCAAGCTGGAGTTGTCTACTGTTAAATGCAATTACTTAATTTGGATGTGTGGCCTGATATAGGTGTCTGTCTGTGTAGCACATTGGTTATACAGAAACAATAATTATGGGGATTGTAACCATTATAGAGGCTAGGGAGACGACAGCGACAAAACTGCACATAGGTCATGTGCAGATTGGTTGCTAAACAGAAAGGGGAATGCACAAAGATAAACCATCAAAGACATGGATGAGAAGCACAAACAATGGCTGGAGATTTTTTATTTTTCATGCTTGGTTTCACAGCACTACAAAGCTCTTTGTGTTTTGACTTTTATCTTCTATGCTGCAGGTGGCGAGTTAAAGACTCAACAACAGCGCAAACGTGAACAAGTATAGCCCACATTGCCAGTTGTTTCAAATAGTTTTGACTCTGCCCCCAACTTCCAGACACATGTCTGTAAACTGCAAAGCTCTCTTTAGCACCGGCACATCTGAGTGGCTGGTGTTTGGGTTGCGTGTTAGAATGAAGCCTGATAGGGTGCAGCGCTGATACTCGTGCTCTCAAAGCTGTTTTATTGCAAAGTATAAAGGTATCTTTTGTCAAATTAAGAAGTTCAAGTGTGGTAATAATAGTGACATTTTAACTGACATTTTAATTCAGAATGACATTTCCCCTGATCACGCAGCAGTAGATTAGATCAAAGAAGGTATTTCGATATCTGAAACTGAAGCTGGCATGTTTGAAGTGCCTTTGTTTCTTAACTCCGTGTGATGTGTCCACAGCCTCCATCTCTGACGACAGAGGAAGAAGGAGCTGCCTTCGACTCAAAGTCTTCGTCAGGCCTCAGAGTGAGTCCCAGATTGTTGTGTCTGCTCTGCCTGGTTTTCCATTCTTTATGTGTGCCAGCGTGTGATCGGACTGCGCGCGTGTGACGTTCAACTCGTCTAATCTACACATCTCCTCTCTCCTCTTTGTTTCTCTTAGACAATTGTGTGAAAAACTCTGGGACCGTGGAAGAAGGAGTCAATTTTGATGATAATAGTCACAACTCCCTAGAACCTGGAGGTTGGTGGGAATATACTGTACAGTTCATGATGTTTGTCAGTGTGTGATGGTGACGGAATCATGTGGGATAGATAAAGATTATTCTGAACACGTGGTGATGGACAGATTAACCATCGAGTCAGAGGTTTGGATGACGTTAGTCAATAAAATGATCGACAAAAATTTAGTTGATTGACTGGCATTCAGGTAATCGTGATATACCGAGACTTGGATTTGCATCGCTATTTCCCAGTGTGTCACTTAAATACAAAGCTGGAGGATGAAGTAGGTTAGCTATGATTAGCAGAAAAAAATGGCGGCTCCTTTTAATTCAGTTAAATGTAGGTGTCGTGTCTTGACTAGGTGTCGTGACTTCCTGGAGTCTTTGGGGGCTGCAGTATCAGGTGACATAGACATGAAAGAAAAAAACTTGGACATAGGGCAAATGGATAGATTTTTTTAGATGGAGCTTTGAATAGAGTTAAGGTATTAGGTGCAAGGCGTAACTCTAAAAAATTGCACCCATAACAAGGAACTAGCAAAATCTGATGTTTTTAGCCATCTTCTATGACAGGACATTGTTTTAGCACCCAGCATTTCGAATAAGGCAATAAAAAGCTTAGTTAGCTGTGTGTTAGCAGGCTAGTTAGTTAAGGCATTTGTAAATATAGCAACATTACTCACTGCATACAGGTTAAATATTGTCAAAATTTGCTTTAAGCTTAATTTAATCTTTTAGTGCCGCTTGTCTTATGCCTGGGATCCACTTTTGTCACATGCAAGGCTTGTTGTTTTGTTCATTAGTTTAGAAAAGCTCAGTTCTTTGTTCTTCAACGTGTTTCTAGTGCATCCCACCAAACTGCAGCTTTTAGGCATTTATCAGTTGACTTTTGATAGCAGTTAGACATGACAAGGAGGCCTCTAAGCTAAAAAAAAAGGCAGTCGAAAACCATGACTCTTTCCTTCTCTGTTGCTGGTGGGACTTTCTTGGGCTCCATCTCTATATAAAACATTTGTAAAGCTCTTTCTGAATCATTTGTTGCCTTTTAAGATATTTCTGTCACAAAAGGGAAAACAGTGGTTGGAGACCATGGCCAAAATTATTGCCACCATTAGCAATGAACTCGCAATCTCATTGACTGTAAAAGACAGACTCAATCTGCTACCAATTTGTGGTTGAATTGGGTCAAGTTACAGGCAATCTGTTGGAGATTAAAATTAGCAATAATCGCAATTTGTATTAACCAGAAAACTATATTCAGTCCAACCAGAACCTCATAGATATGAAACAGAAATTCAGAAAATTCTTCATAAATAGAAACGTAACTTCTGCAGGACAGCAATTTAACCACACACGGCTGGTCTGCTAACGATTCATTAGTGGGTCAAATACACCTTCCAACCAGTCGCTGCAGGCCCCCCTCCCTGAGTCTGGTTCTACTGGAGGGCTCTTCCTGTTAAAAGGGAGTTTTTCCTTCCCACTGTCACCAAGCACTTGCTTAAAGGTGCTTGATTGTTGATGTTTTATGTGCTATTGTAGGGTCTCTGCCTTACAATATAAAGTGCTTTGAGGTGGCTGGGCCATATATAAATGAAACTGTATTAACCTCCTAGGACCTGGCGTCCACATATGTGGACATCCCATTTTGGGTTATTTAGACCAAAATACTCAATTTTGCTCTACAAGGAAGGTCTACCTGATATCCACTTACGAAATTTTATTGAAATTTTAAACGAATATCCTCATATGTGGCTCTCATTTTTCTTAGAAACAAAAATCAGGTAAAAAAAAAAATCTGGTAATTCTTTGTTTTTACATTCATTGGTTCCCAATATGCCCAAATATCAAAGAGAAATGAAAAATGCATGCCGTGGAAGAGTGCAGGTCTTAGGAGGTTAAAATACACAATCAAAATTTTGCATGAGGGAGCCTTCTACTCAAAATCATCACACAATTTCAGCTTTCCCTGTTAAGTGTGCATTTTCATCTGTTTGCTCTTAGATGGTGTCAGTCACGAGTCACCAGAGCCAGCAAGAAGGGATGTGAACTCCGCTGGACGGTGCCAGACTTCAGTTCTCCTGCTCAGCTCCACCCTCATACTCCTGGCTGTCATCTTGTCTTTATAGCAGCGAGATGTAGAAATCAGGGATGGACTGTCCTAACTGGAGCACAGGCCGCTCTACCCTGCAACCTCTCCCCTCAAGGAGCACTTTTAAAAGAAAAAATGAAATAAATAAAAAAAATTAAAACAAATCACTGACAATCTCTCATTACAAAGAGAGAGGAAGGGACTTCGGTGCTGAAGCCTTTGATGTTTTTTGACTTTGTAAAATGCCAACTAGTTTGATTTTTGACTTTCTGGCGAGTGCCGATGGTCGTGGCGCCCCAAGGTGAAAGCGTCTTTTACCTATTCGCCTCTCTACCATTTAAAGTATGCAGATATTACACCTTTTTTTTGCATTTAAAACAAGCACAGAAACATGCTTTTAAACATATAAACACACAGGACACAATGTCTACACAATCAGTACACTTTTTAACGCGAATGGCAAAGAAGCACAGCAGGACCCCTCTGAAGTTTACAGATGAACTCTGTTTTTTGTTTTGTTTTTTACATTACATAACCTCCAACATGTAACATGATTAAATCTCACTTCAACGTGGAAGAAGATCCTGGAGCGGCACATCGGCAAAAAGGAAAACAAAGAAAGATGCTATTTGTTGGAGACTGTTGGTACAGGCGTGGAGGTACGGGGCGGGCCTTTGATGGATTAACCTCTCTCTCAGGTTAAAAGGGATGCATTGTCTCAGACTGTGGAGGACCCTTTATGAGAGATTTAAAAAAAGGAAAAAGTTAAAGAAGCACTCATCTTTTAGTGTTTGGATAGGAGGCAATTTTAATGGTTGATTAATGTATGTGTTTGTTTTATTTTTTAATAATTCACATAACTCAATTGTAGCAGCCAACACGGGTGTACAGTAAAATATTTGAATGGCGCGTAGACAACGATACGGTCTTTTGCCTGGCGAAATGTATTTTCCTATTTATTGTGAAGTCCTTGTGCTTTTTTCTGTTCTGGTTCAGTCTGTAAGTACAGTAGAAAGGCAATAAAAAACAAACACCCTTACCCGTTAAGTTAGTTTATATTACCCACAGTTAATTTGATACCATTAAACAAAAAAAAAAACAACCACACAGTTTTACGTATCTGTTTGGACTGCTCGCTGATGATGGTTTTTAATTGTTTTTAACAAAGTCCGGGAAGAAGAGGGAAAAAAAAGTCTGATGTGCTATCAGGGTGTAGAAATCGTAGAATATTTGTGTTTGAAATGTCATTAAATGAATGTCACAAATGTAGTTTTACTGTTACACTATTGTTTTTGTGAATCACTGTCATAACACAAACTATTGTAAATAGAAGGCAAAGTTCCTACAAAGTTCAGGGATGTGTCCATGCCTAACATGAGGTCCATTTTTTCTTTGTTTCTAAATCAGGGAGAATTCTCTTCCCTAAAATAAAGTAGAAATTTTATGTGGCGAAAAAAGTTTCAGTGAGATGGTGGGCGAATTACAAAGCAGGTGGAAGAAGTGTGCGTAGGATGGTCGGGACTGTGATTCATTTACCCTCTTTGATGTCGTGTAAAGTGGCATCTGTACAGAAAATACACCGGGGGCACCCTCGTACCAGTTATTTCTGGAATGAAAAAATCGACCACCAGGGGAGATGGAATAAACACGAGGTGGTGTCCTGTTCTCTTGGGGCAAACTGAAACTGACCTGAGAGAAGGGGGGAAAGAGACGAAGAGGGCGAGATGTGAAGAACTGTAGTGCCCCTGCTGAGATCAATAATGCTCTTCTATTTTCTCCTCATGTGGCAGGAACATGTGGTAAACAGATCCTACTGTCACATTCACTCAGCGCCAAATAACACAGCCTTGCTAATGTCACTGCTAAAGAACAACACCTGTACTGCCTGCCTGCTGGAAGCACGGGAGTGTTAGGGCCACTTTGGGTTAAAATAAACCAAGTTAGGGAAAGAAACTGAAGCTTTGGTAAGAAAAGATAGTAATTACATAGCATATTTTTTAGGTTCAAAGATGCAAATAAAAGAGATGCAAATATTTTATTTGACTGGCTCCTGTGCTAAATATACATCTAGATCAGGGGTGGGCCCCTGGCCCATTCTGGCCCGTGGCAAAGGAAACTAAATGGAAGGTTAAGTGTATTTTTACATGTTTTACAGCTTTTTCTATTGATAAAGACCCCCCCCCCCTCTCCCACATACACACACACACTCACACTATAACATACAAAAATAGACAAAATATAAATGACAGAAAAGTTCCTGTTTTCCACAAACTACTTTAAAATTTTCATTTTTTGTCCAGTCCACAATAAAAGAAAAAAAAAAAGACATTTTCTATTAATTAACAAAAACCTTTTCAATAATTGTACACATATAATGTAGTTTCACTGGTCCCCCCCACTTGAGTTGCCCTGGCTTAGAGATAAACTGCCCAGATTTATCTTGAATATAATGGAACTCAACTATGTTATCCTCAAAAGGCGCCAAAAATATACATCTAAAAAACTTGGCAGAAATTCTTTGCAAACCTTCTTTTGAGCAGCAACTATTTTTTTCAAATTACAACAGCCAGTTAAAGAATGCATGCAGTTAGCTAACATCAGATTCATCTGAGGTAGGTATGCCATGTCACGAGCACGTAATAAGACGTCACTTGCTTGCTAGGTGGTGTTTGTAGAAAGAAAATACTTCTTGCATAAAGTTTTTATTAAATAACCAGAAAGAGATACCTCTGGAGGTTTTCAAACATATACTTTTGGGACTTTTGTTTTAGTTCTGTTATAAATATGTGTATCACTAATATGTTGAAAAAGTTGGGCGACTGGGGTAATGATTTCAGTCTACAAGCATAAGTAGTGTAAGTAGTTAAATCTGGCCCTAACACTCCATTATAGTGCAGGACACCTGTGGCATAGAAGAAAAACAACAGTGTGTAACTTGTTGCATAGTTTATAAGTTGCTCCCTTAAATACCGAAGACAAGACCAAAAAAAATTAATAGCTTTGAGTTTTCAATTTGATCCTCTGTTCCTGGCAGATACAAGGACCACTCTTTCAGAATGGCTGGTAAACTGAAGCTGATGTTTAAAACTGGTGGAGTGTCCCTTTAAATTATAACTTATTTAATTTATAATTACTTCTGTGCACGGCTTCTGTGCTAAGACAACCATATTAGGGTTATCCACCCTCTATGATATCATACAGAACCAAAAGAGGAAAAACTCATCTGAAACAGTGTTTAGAGCAATCTGAAGCCTGAGCTTTGGCCTCACGTGGATTACTTGTACATACTTATGTCATTATTTGAATCTTTAGCCATGCTTCACGTGAGCACCCAACATTGTAATAGTTTATATGCATGACAGAAATGAAGAAAAAGCATATTAGGTCTTATTAAAAACTAAGCTAAGAACTTGAGACAGACAAGAATAGAGTATAAAAGCATTATTTTCAGGAGATTCAGGAAATTAATAGTTTGAGGTAAAAGGTTATTAATATAGCGGCACAACAAGTACGCTGCGCGTCTGAATTAGTTAACAGATTTCTTTTCTGTCATTTTCTTCAAGAGCTTAGTAAGATTTAAATAACATTTTCCTCCTTGGTCACAGCTTGGCCACTCGCCTCTCCATGAACATCAGTCCTGTTTTTTAAGCCTGGCCACCATTAAAAGTCCACTATCATTGAAATTATCGCCTCCTGCCACACCATGTTGAGAAACCCCTCGAAACAATCTGTTTGTTTTGTGGATACTGTGTATCCAACAGTTAGCGTGTTATAACACACAGTGTTAGATACTCCCTTTTTCTCGTCCCACACCTCTTTTAAAGGGCGATTTACCTGACATATTAATGTTCTTTGGGAAGAAAAATGTTTGATACAAAAAAATGCAAACTTTCATTTTATATGTCTTTTATATGAAGCAAGAAAAACAAACAAGAATCATCATTGCACCCACTATCTGTAAAATATGTTTGTGCAAATGTGGCACATATTGAACATGCAGTACGGTTACAATCATGACTCAAATGGCCTGACAAGAGTACAAATGGATGTCCAAGAGCTCGAAAAATTTGTGTTTCCTTTTGTTTTCTTAAACCACTCTTGTTTTTTTTTTTTTTTTTTGTTTTAAATTGTTGCATCCAAAGTGTCTTTAAAGGTCCAGGATGTTCTTTATTTCCGTTTGCTTATCTACACCTCCAGCTGTTTCTGACATGTAACAACAATAATCAGTGTAAAAGCTCAATGTGTTAGTGGCAGAAGAAGACAGTCCCACTCAAATGCTGATGTTTCGTGTGTTTTTGAGCAAACTGTGCTGCGAGGAGGGCGGGTAACATGCTCTAACCTGATTTTGTTATAATGTAGCTTCAAGCTAACACCACTGTTTCTGTTTGCAGCATCTGTTTCCCATCCTCTGTATCTGAAATACAGATGTGTGCTTTTTTTCTTCTGTTGGTCCATCTAGCAGTGGGAAGCTTTTTGTTAGCCACAACTGTGTTTTCCCCTCCCCCAAGTAGACGTGGATGTGCCACCAAACTGCACATTTCTTTAAAACATTGTAGTAACTGTACCTTGTGCCTATACAAGTCCCATCCTCTCCTGTACTCATCTAAACTATTCTAATGTCTGTTTCCTGCTCAGTCCTTCACTAGATTTTTCTACAAAACTACAAAAAAAGGCAATTTCTTTGTAAATACACGTGTTGGAGCAGCTATGACTAACTAAAACAAAAAAGATTTAATAAATATTTCTTTGTCGTTGTAATTATCGTGTCTGATTTGTTTTATTAATCATTATGGAAATGAGTGACAGCTTGTGAAACAGAAAGAACATCAAAAAGGCGTGAAAGCTTCGTCGCGGTAGCGCGAGCAAGCACTGGATGTTTGTCTTGGTTGTCGCTCGGTGCATAATCACACAGGCCGAGTCCGGGGGAAGTGGATGAACAGCTGTTTCTCCATAATCTGGAGGTAATTCAGTCTGAAAAAGCACAAAACAGAAACAGCTTCAATTAATCTTGCAGGGAATGTGCAGCGCTTTGGGGAGCTCTGCCAAGAAAACTCTGTCTCACACGCTCTTTTGCTCCTCACTCCGCTCTGCCTCTCCTGCTGTCTGACTTAATTTCTCAATTTCTGTCCTTCTTACCCTCTTTTTGTACCTGTGGTGAGTTTGCAACCTTTAACTGGCTCATTTCATATAATCTAGATCAAGGTTTTTGCCAAATTTAAATAACCTGGAGAGACAATGTAGGCAAGGTGTCTGAAATAAATCTTAACATTTATTTCATGGGAAATGCATAAATATACCTAAAGGACAGAGTATCTTGATTACCAACATAGATTGCATATAAAAGATGGCTGTAGCTTCTGTGATGTCAGCCACTTGTTCGTAAATCCTGTTATGAAGTGTTTTCACCTTCACCTGGTGTTTTGAAACCAGATGTGAAGAGCGAGGGGCGGCTCGGACTGTGATTGGGTTGTTAGCCCAAGAGCACACCCTGGACAATCCTTCAAACTCTAATAATGACCAGAATTTATAAAACATTGTGTTTTATTCAGTATGGCCTGAAGCTAGAGATTTAACCAATAAACTCATCATGAAAGCATTTGTTGAAGTCACCCTAGACTGAGTATTTCCTAGACTTGGGTAAAAGTTAGGCCTAGGGTTGAGGTTGTCACCAATGATGACTCAGATCTTAATTATTAGTTATTATTAGTCTCTGTCTTCCTCTTCTCACCCCCAACTGGTTGCGGCCGCCCCTCCCTGAACCTGGTTCTGCCAGAGGTTTCTTCCTGTTAAAAGGGGTTTTTTCCTTCCTACTGTTGTCAAGTGCTTGCTCAAAGGGGGTTGGTTTGATTGTTGGGGTTTCATTATTCTAGGGTTTTACCTTTACGATATAAAGCACCTTGAGGCAACTGCTGTTGTGATTCGGTGCTATATAAATATAATTGAATTGAATCTTAGAGCAGAAACTTGTACAACCTTCTTTACCCTTAAGTGGGCCATACCAGTGAAACTCCCTTTGCTATCAGTGTAAATGCATTTCACTACACATTTAATCTGTGAGGTCTTAATACGAGTGCAATTTCAACAGTACGTCTCAGTTTTTCTACATGACAAATGTGTAAAACTACAGATAAAAATTCTGGTAGCTCAGTGGCTAGACAAATGTTTTAGTAGGTATTTCTACAGTATGCAGTGAAAAACAAGAATTTTTCTGTCTTCAGATTGTTCTACTACTATCCATTACATTACCTTGGAAAAGGTGAAGGACTCTA